ACCTCCAACGCCCTCTATTGAACTCGTGTGTTTTTATTGTTATTTGAAAGGTGTGAAGACGCACCTTGATGGGGATGATATGGATGGGGATGACCCATCCATGGGGTCATCCCCATCCATGCCATCCCCATCACCTTGATGCACCTTGATGGGGAAGACATGGATGACTTCTGTGCCTAGTAATTGTCAAGATTACAAATGTTTTGATTAAGTGGTCACAGGTGTTTTCACAATTCTTCGATTGGTTTGTTCTGTCTATTTAAGCCGTGTGTTTCTTTCGGTTCATTGACAGTTCTACCCCGCATTAAGTTGGTTTCTCTATTTCTGTGTTTGTTTTGTTAATAAAACAAATGCATGTAGATCCTTTTCTCATCATTATTGCAATCAACCTTAATTTATAATATATTGTTATTGTAATATATATAATAATATTGTTATTCGTATATTATCTGTAAAAAAGTTTAATTTCTGTAAAAAGTAAATTTCAGTGTTTTCTGTTAGAACGGTGTCTTGTTAGCGGCCCCTAAGTTAATAACTAATGATTTTTGCAACGGAAGTGAATCAATCAATCAAAACTAACTTCAGCTGGAAAATAACTTTATTCTAGAGCTGCTGTAAAGCCAAAACATTCTCTGTTACTGTAATTTCCAATTATCACTGTAAAAAGTGCTATATAAATGAAGGTGACTGACTTCTCAACAAATTCAATTTTCTGGCTAAAATCTTGCCCAAATACAGACTAATTAGGCAAATGTGTGCTATAAAATCAATAACACAATGACAATAAAACCCACTGCCCTTGCGGTCCGTGTAATTTGACCTTAGCAGCTGAGAGCTCACAATGCTTCATCAGTATTCGAACGGAAGGGCGGCATGAACTATGCAGCTCAAAAGGTCAAAGAATGCCACATTATACAGGCAAACAAGATATACCATATAACATAATCCTCTGTTTTAACCCTTGTGCTGCATTAGTTTTTTAACACCGTTGAGTGCATTAAGGACCAAAAATGGCCACATATTAAACATTGCCTAAAATATTATATATTATTAATATTTTCCACTTTTACCAAGTTAAATCTTTTAACCAGCATCAGTCCTCATCATAACTACCAAAAATCTATTCAATTTCAGGATTTTAACCCTTTAATTACCAGTTTTGTTTGCGAAACCATCGATTTGTATAAGAGGAAAAAACACAAAAATTCAATTATTTTCAATAAACTAAATGCAAAGAGAAAACTTTAGATTTGGATTATCACAGTCCCACTTTGCAAAAAATCCCACTTAGCGCGTTAGAGACCAAAAATGGCCACCTATTAAACATTGCCTATTGCCTAAAATAAGGTGCATTTCCACCCATAGGGAATAAATATGTAGTGACGTCATCTGGTGGAATACACTATATAATGCAAATATAATGCTTTTGCTTCAAAATGAAAGGATGTTTGTGCAAAAATCATGTTTCATGTATTACTGACAGCCTCAGATTTAAACAACGTTTTAATGGGTTTCAATGGGCCATTTTTGGTCTTTATGGTGCTGAGTGTTACTATTTGATTTACACAGTGTGTGTTATACATATTTTGCAAAATGGGATCACATTTTTTACATGTATCCAAAAAGTCACAATTTTGCCAAATTTCATACCATTTGCATTAAAACAGCCAAAATGGTCAAAGAAATTAAACTGCAAAAGACCAAAAATGTCCCTAATGCAGCATAAGGGTTAAATTAAACAAATGTACACATTGTAAAGAAATGTGATTATGCATATATGATGCTAATATGGTTACTCCTGACCTTTCAAGTAGTTTAGGATAGCAAAAAAAATATATATAATATATATATATATATATATATATATATGATATGATATGGCTTGCCAGAAAATTCCACCAATGGAGGGGGGAAGGAGTTCAAAATGAGAAGAAGCTTACAATTTATTTTGATTCATAGAACATTTTTGCTACTTTTGTACAATTTTGGTATAATTGATGTCCAATGTAAAATCTGTGTCGAAAAGCATAACCAGAACTAATGGATTAGCAGACAGCGCATGCATAACTAGCAAGGGCATTTTTCAAAGGGCAATAATCATTACTATTCACTGCACTTGCTTGGTTGACACTCACTGAACACATTGGCTTGTTGACTGAAACATTGGATGGAGATCTGATACACAAAGACATTACAAGCCCGAATGACGCCTGGACAGAATTCAACCTCTGAAACATTAGACCAATCTCAACTCCATGTGCTTACAATTTACCAACAATTATCAGGTGCATTAGCATCACTGAGTAAACTTGGCACGCTGCTGTCAGATGTCCAGGTGCAGCTACCTGGCTCTTACGCTCAATTGAAATCAAACAACAGAGCTAATATTTCACAATCAAGAGATGGAATCAAACCGCTTGTCAGCACTAAATGTAGTGTGTAGTGACTGCACCAGGGGAAAAGGGAAATGAGAATGCATCACGATCAGTTAAAATGCATGCCAGAACCAATGACGTGACGTCCACTGATGTCATACTTGGCTTGATGCGTTATAAGGAGCCAAGTGTGAATGAGATTTGAGAGCAAGATTTTCAGGTCACTGAAACCACCCCGGCAGTTTAGTTTGAAACTGGGTACGGTTCGCAACTTCGCATGGAAAAATTGGTATTGCGAACCCAAGAGTGCACTGGGGTACCAAACCCTAGACTACCTGGTCTGAGTTTGTTTGCACTCGAAATGGCGCGATTCACGTGAATGTAAAATCAACGCACTTAATCACGAAGTAAGTCAATGAAAAAAAAATCTAGAGAAATAAAGAGCGTGTCATTGACCTAACTACTTTAATCGATCTGTTCCTCGTACAAAGCTCCAGAACACTTGGAATAATGTGCAAGAGTCCTATGTTTATGGAGCTTGAAAGTCCCCGGTTACCATCTTTTCACATCCTTTTAACCTTAAAGACCAAAAACATCACAGACAGTTAAGTTAAGTTCAGCAGACTAAACATTTTTGGATGAGAAACCCAAATATAGCATTTCAGATGTGGACCATCACAGGCAAAAATTCAGTTGCAGCTCATTATATATCAGCGTGCGCGTTCCATTATGATGTGGCCGCTTTGATCAAAAAGCCGGTTTAGTTGGAAGCTGCAGGAGTGTGTGGTGGAGATTATGGTATGGCGTTTCCACGACAGAGCCAATCTGGAAGGATTGCCAGAAAAAATCCAGGTCAAAAAACCTTCTGCTGCTGCTGAAGACGCTCGCTCTACCAAATCCATGGCTTTATTCATCTCCAGCTGATGCTTTGAGCCCCATTCACCTCAGCTGCACTCTGGGAATCCAGCTGGTCTCTGGATGCTCTTTGAGATCTTGAAATCCATAGCAAACACTTTAAGGCGGCGGCAACAAAGAAGCACACACACAGCCTGCGGATGGGGGTGGATAAGGGTTTTGAAGACACAATAAAGACGCATGAGGACTCTAAGGGGGCAACATGCGGTGGATTTCGCGCAGTGTAAATCATTAATAGGTTTCTCCTATTAACGTAAAGCCCCTGTTATTAAAAAAATATATGGGTGGAGAATGAGATTATACTGCTCAGCATCACTACTTAGACCTTAAATAGCTATCATTAAAACAAATGGAGGACAATCTCATTAACATCATTTTATTCAATACTGAGGCAATTGGGAGAAGACCTATAGCATTTTAATCTGTGCCCTCAAAACTCTTCCTGCATATATGATTGTGCTTTGTCGACGGTAGAAAGGTTCTTCAAATTTAGTGGATACAAAATTTGACTAACCAAACGTTTCCAAACAGGTGTTCTTAACACTCCCTTTGACAGGGCAAACAGATAGTCCAACCTCAATCTTACGCATTGGCGGAGGCAATGTTGCTATGCTGGTGAGGATGCACAAAATAATAGAACATTTAAAGTCAGCATGTAATCAAATCTGACGAATCTTATTTTTTTATGGAATATTGCATTATTATAAATTATTAATCTGAGCACATCATTATTTTTTTAAGTATATGTGCCCTTTTTATCTTTAATTAACTCTCTTGCAGCAGGGTCTCTTCTCTGATGACGTATTAACCACCTGTCACCCACATGAGATCGACCAATAGCAAACCACAACCATCCAATCAATTCCCCATGGACAAAATCAAGTCCCGCAGATGCAAGTCACACAATAGAAAAGAAAAGTCTATCACAACTTCTGTTTCATGCCGAGACTGTCGACTTTAAAATTAAAACGAAACAAAAGTAAAAAATAAAAAAATAAAAAAAAACACTTAGCTATTAGTTTGACACCCAGAGTCTTCATTTTAAACAAAGTGTCTTTTTGGTGTGGACATGGTGTCGGTGTGTTCGTAGGCTTTTTCTTTAAAATAAATGACACGTGGTTATATTTGGTATCTAATGAATGAATCATCCAGAACATATCATACTTTTCCAAATATATTGGTGCCACGGCTCTGTGTTATTTCTGTGCAATAGCCTATTCTTAACAGAGAAAAATGAGAAACAGACAGGAAAAATAAAAGCTCAGTAGCCTATTGTATGTACATTTAATAAAAATAAAAACAGCGGTAGAGACAGATCCGACATCCGCAAAATGATTATTATGCATAGATGCTTTGCTCTTTGAAATTGTCTTGAGTGTATCCATGTTTTTATGTATTTGTTATCTGAGTCGGTCTTGTCGAAGACAAATTTCTGTCACTTGTCACAGACAATAAAGTTTTTCTTCTCTTCTCTTCTCTTCTCTTCTCTTCTCTTATCTTATCTTTTACACGATCACTAAGCCTGTCGCGTTTCATATTGTGACATGCCATAAAGTTACATCTAACAATAAATTAAAGGCTTCCCTACTAGTACTAAAAAACTATGTTGTAGCCTACGCTCAACTTTAACCGTTTCAATTTCAAATTTCACAGCGCTGAACCAAGATTAAACGCATCGCAGAAATATAAGAAAAGTTAAGATCCACTTACCACAGCTGAAATGAAGACAACTATTGATCATTAATCATAGTCACTAGACAATATTATCTTTAGGAAACAACATCCTTTAATATGGCTTTTTCTTCAAGTACACGTCGTTCTCTCCTCAAGCGCAGAACGCCAACTGACCATCATGAGCCAAAGAAGCGCGCGCCCAAACCACACCTCCCCCCGCTCCAAAATCTCTGTAAAACAGCCCACTGAGAAACATTGAGTTGTTATTCGCATTCCTGTCGATATTATTCACTTATTAACCAGATTAGTGCTGTTCACGTGAATAATGTTACTTCACACACTGTTTCTTTAGCATTAAGTCTTGTAAATGTCTTGTTTTTAGTCGGATATTTTCAATAAATCTGATGTCTTTTCACAAAATCTGACTGATCTCGCATGAATATCGTTTCTTTATGAAGCGGTAAATGAGCTATATTGTCAATTTTATTTGTAGTGGTCTGAGAGGGATTGGTAGAAATCAAACTATAGTTGTATGAACGGATTTAAATGTTTATCCGTGATAAACATGACAATGACCTCATTTCTTTTGTGGTGGAGTGAAGAACTTAAAATCCAATAATATTTCCTTATGCCTGCTAGCATGTGATTTCAGCAAACCATAAGATAATTAGAAACCACACTGTATGGCATGGATCTAATAACTGAATGGCTGTTAGAACTGTACGATGAAGACACGATTTCATATCTGAACCTTTATTGTGGTTTATTTTACTGTCAGGAGTACAGAGGATATAAAAATGGAGTCTAAGGACAAATACAGTAAAAAATAGTGGCGCATAGTATATTAGTTTACTATACTTGCTTATCACATAGATAAACTACACTGGCTACGACGCAGGTAGTAGAAGAATAAAATGTTATCAGCATGCGCTAGAGGTAAACAAATAGACCAAGATGAATACTTTGGCAACTGTTTTAATGTGCGCTAAAAAAGAGGAGGAAGTGAAAGAGGACAATATGGACAATCCATAGTTAAGTAAAAGAGACCAAATTGGTGTGCCAATTTTGCAAATGGAGCTTGAGGTAAGTAGTTTTAGCTTGTTGCATTTTTATTAGCTAGTCAGTAGACGTTGGTCATAGTAGCAAACACACTGTGAGATAAACATATTAAATGTATGACCCTCCTGAAAATGATCTCAGGTTCTCTTTAATCGCAAGACTATGACAACGTCCATCTTTGAACCTCTCTCACTGTATGATGTAGAACCACCGTTTAGGAGAGACGACCACAGAAATCGCCACGATTGGTCATCTTTCATTTGGGACAGCCTAAAATCATATACTGGGAATAACACAACAATATGGCTTATTAAGACGTAAAGAACATCAACAGCATTAAAACTCTTGTTTTATTAATAAAACATCATCTATATTCCTTAAAAATTCTCCTTTGTCTTCATTAGAAGTGAGAAACGCGTATGCTGTAACCTATTTCTTTAATGTCTTGTGTTCTTAAAGGCTGGCTGTATAGAGACGGAACAATCCACACGTCTCCGTAAACAGTTAAGATATCTAATGTGTTAACAAGAGAAGCCTGATTTTAATTTCTACAAGACACTTCAGGCTCTCTCAAAACAACTCAAAAACCCACATAAACCCATCTAAGAATGTTAATGAAACCGCATTACAGTCATGTCTATGTCATGATCAACAACAAATTAAAATGAGATTTAGATTTTTAAAACACATACGTATGCAAGAATGTGTATCTTGAAACAACCCTTTGACCTCTCATCTCAGAGATTCAAACCCAGCCAGACAGCCAGACTAATATTGTCCATGCTTGACTGGTTAAGACTTTTGCTGGGAATGGTCTATTGTTATTCCTGCCTTCGCGTTTCTTTTCATTGAGGTCAATGTCTGTTTAGAGGGTCGTCCTCATTCACACATGCACACGTGTGTTTTGTCCTGCAGCAGTGTCCACTGATCACACAAACACTATTACCTACAACACTGTTACCCCAGGCCTCCACTCTGGATTGACCGCATTGATATCTCAGTGCAACATTTCACATCTTATACACCTTGTTAATGTTAATAGCGAATCATAGCCGAGGGGCCCGCGAGTTAGCCATCTCAAGAGCAGAGATGTATAATCATATCATGCGATGGAAACAACCTCAGAGACCCCATGGGAAACAAACCGCCCATAGTAGATATAGCCTATTAGAATTATTATTCATGTTTTACTCCACCGAGGCAGAAAGAAACTCATGATGAGTCGTATTGACACTGAGGATAAGGGAAGATTGAAGTTTGCTCAGTGGGATTTGAAGGTGGATTAAAGGAAATGTTGTTGGGGAAGTTTAATAAACGCCTCAGAAGGGTGGAATAATTCTTATTCAGAAACAGTTCCACGTTCTAAAAGAAATCTCATGATGCTCGGTTAACAGTTCTTTAATGTATACGTTGTGGACACGTTACACTAGAATTTTTTTTCGATTGTCGTGATTGTACACATTAAATCTGCAAAAATACAACAATCAAACAAACCTTGAGACTTCCACACAAGAAACGTGTACTGTGTACTGAAGAAATGATTCTCTCTTTCTACTCTCTTATGTAAATTACTTTTTTTTGTATGCACATACGTTTCTTTTGTATATCACTGTTTCTAAATAAGACAATAAACCATAGGGTAGAATAAACTAACATTATTACATTATCCTCACAAGGAAAAACACACAGAGCAACCAGCATGGTCAGATTTCTGAATTAATGACTCTTTGGATCTGGACCTTTTAATGAATCAGTCAAAACGACTTGAATTTGTCTAAAAATCATGTACACTTACGCCTCATAAGACTTGGTTGCAATGAAACTGGAAAGAAACAAAGTATGGAATTTTTAATAACAAGTAAAGATTACCTTCAACCCGATTTAACCCATTTTGTTGTTGGTATCAGTTAATGTATTTCGGTTGATTCGTTGATGTGAAATGATATTTTTTACCAGGTCATTTAGTTAATTCAGATGTTACCATTTTTTCAGTGTTTCCTTCAATTGGAAAATGGTGAATGCTACAGTAAAAAAAAAGTGTTGAGACACCTTTCTAAAATGGCTACAGTACATGGAGGAATAGTAAGTGTGCAGTTTGTAGCACATAATTTAAGACACAACCACTGTCTGGTTGTTCTAGTTACACATTTAGAACGGAGTACCGACTCCTTAATGGCAAGTGAATTTGGAATTGGAACCATTATTGTTAGTGAAAATCTAATGAAAAATCATATGGGAGTATGATGTATATTACAATGTTATGATGGACTATATGCTTTCTCCACTGATGTTCTGGGTTGTTCAAAGCGTTTCTGATGACTGTTAGAAGGCAGCTGCCTTGACTCTGAGATGGCGAATGAGAACATGGTTTGTGTAACATTAGTAACACATTATTAGCTGTTTTTTTATTTTATTTATTTATTTATTTATGCAGGGACCATGCACAATTTTTAACATAAAATTACCATTTCATGTATTGTACCGGATTTAGCCAGAGGCTATTTTTCATCCGTAGTCCCCCAGACAAGACAAAGTTAACAAAACAATTACACAAACAATACCAATGTTCACATACAATAGATGCACACATACTGTCAAGACCATAGAACAACATAAATAAATTAATCAAATTAATCAATCAGTCAACCACTCAATTACAACTACGACAATCTCAATGGTTACATAATTGGTTCAATTTTTAAAAAGATTTTAGCTTCAGTTTAAAAAGACCATGCACTTTACACCCTTTTATGTCCTTTGGTAGGGCATTCACTGATTAGTGGCTCTCACTGTGAAAGATGATAGTCCAAAAGCAGAACGACGAAAGGGAACCAGACAATTACTCATGAGTGATAGTCTGGTAGATCTCACAGAGGTTTCACTATGAAGATTTATAAAATCACGTAATACAGAAGGAGCCAAACCGTTTAAGATTTTATGAACACAAATTTGAATAAAGTCTAAAATTGTCAAAGGTTAAAAAATTATGTTTCTCTATAATTCTACAAAAATTAAAATGGTTATGTTTCTCTATAATTCTACAAAAATTAAAATGGTTAGGTTTTTTATAATAATAACAATAAGACATGTGAGAAAAGATTGTAGCATGCATAAAGGTCGTAGCTACCTCAAAAGAAAGACACTGTCTTATTTGCTTAAAGTTTGAGTCCAATATTACCAAGATAACTTAGCTCATTTACTATTTCTAACTTTTCACCATTTATAGTAATATTAAGATCAGGAGATTTATCATTTGTTTTAGAGAAAAAAATTCCTTTTGTTTTACTGATGTTTAGGCTAAGACATGACTGTTCCAGCCACTGTGTGATCTTTTCAGTAGCAGCTTTTAACTTGACATCCAAGATGGCGTAACATGCGAGGCATATGTCCAGTCCGTCTCGTCCTGTTTGTGTCGAATATATTGTCTTTGTTGTATCTTTTAAAGTCTTATAACATTTAAATGATCATCATAATTACTTTTAAACTAAGCCATATCTTTTTTGTTTTTAAACTAAGCCGCATCTAGACGCAAACTTTCCGATTACATGCTTTTACCCTTGTTGGGACTGACATAGCCCTGTGTGAGCTCACCTTTCACCGAGCCGAGGAGTGGATCGAGCTCCAGGACGTCTGCTGCTGTTGTTGGCGACTAGAAAACTGACGCACAAACCAACTGCATTACCGACATATTCCTTGGATGTGTCCTGACAACGGCGGGATTTCCAGCGCGACGAGGTCGACGTGAGTAATCTCGCCGATTTGGTCGAACTCGCTTGATACTACCCTTGGCATCGGCTCTAGAATTTGACAGCTGGCTAGTGAATCTGCGGCTGTACAGCAGTAGCCTGCAGCCGTATGGCAGGCTAGCTCCGGTGGCTAACCCTGCCTCAACTTCAGTTCTCGTGTCCAAACTGTTTTACTGTCACTTTGTCACTCAGACTGTATACAGGTCTACTGGATCAATCATAGCAACGAAATTATTTCACTTGACTTGCGGCTTGTTGCGGCTTGTTGCCGCGGGCCCCCGTGTGCGTGCGTGCGCATGTGAACGCGTAACGCTTGGACGTTGATTGCACTGGCTCGAATGACTATTCTCGCAAACCGCAGTATCAGC